GGTTGTATGCGGCCCCTGAACCCCCCCCCCCTCAAATCCCCCCCATGTCAAGTACATTGTTCCTGTTAAATGCAGCGCAGCCTACAGGAGGTAGGAGGAAATACACTTCAGACTGCACAGAAAAAAACTCCTGGTTATGTTTTAATGGCCTTTTTATATTTTTTTTTTCTGCAGTCAGGAGACCCCCCCCACTCCCCCGTCCCCCTCCTCAGACCTGTTTATACTGACCAACTTCAGCCTTTTCTCTGTAATGAGAATGGAGGCGATCAATATTCATCATCCGGCCGCAGTGACTTTTCAGTCCACGTGGGTTTTTTTTTATTCCAAATACGCAGCAATTAGAGTCCATTCAGAGTCGGGGAGGAATTTTAACAATGGCAGTTGGAGGAAAGAGGGCAACTGAGGAACTGCAGTGTAGAGAAATGGAACACTCAGACTGAGACTGGAGTGTGTGTGTGTGTGTGTGTGTGTGTGGATCGACTCTTTTCTCACACAACAATTTCATAGAAAAAAATGTAAAGCAGTGGTCGTCAACTGGCCCCCCGCTGGCCAAATCTGGTCAGCCTGACCTTCCAAAAGTAATAATAATTATTGAACTGTTGTGGATGAATCAGCTGAAACCATTGAGTAACAACTAAAAAGAAACCCTTAGTTTAATTGTCTTCAGTTGTTGACTTTGACAAAGTTGGGGGGCGGGGGCTGTGTGATAAACACTCGTTAATCCTCCTGTGAATGGACAGCGTGAAGAAGGCTGTGATCAGAGGTGATAGTTTCAACGCTGCTGTTCTCACGTTATAATCTGACAGACGACAGCGTCGTTAATGTTTGTTTTAATTGGTTAAAACGGTGACTCTCAAATGGTGGCTCGTGATGCCGATGTGGATCAGGTTCACTCGATTGAGTCGGGAGTCTTGGACCAGTCGAGAACTGTTAAGGTGTTGACGTTCGTTAGGTTCACGAGTTCGAGAGCTGAAGAATTTCACACTGAAATAAACACAAAAGTTTTTAAACTTTTTCAGAGATGGTGGAGTTTGTGGAAGGAACAGGAAGTCAGTGCTCAGTGTGTGTGTGTGTTTTTGA